AGCTTGTGTCCTCTCATTTCACATGCTCAGACCCACTTGAAGTACCTCTCTCTCTCCTGCATGGGTGGTGAAAGTCAGACCTGCCTACAGGCCCAAAAATACTCAAGTTTCTTTTTTTAAACTGTGGGCTTTATGTTGATGCTAAGTGTGTGTCTGTGTGGGTGCCTGTGCTCCCCTTGCTGCTACAGCAGCGAAGTACCTGGAGGAAAATTTCTCAGAACCATTTAAGCTGTTTTACTAGTGTTGGATGGTTTTGAGGTGCAGTGCTGTGCTCAGAGAAGTGCCCAGTTCCCAGGTGCTCTCCCCCTGGAACAAAACCACAAAACAGTTGGCTGTGGAAGTTAAACCTCCGTCAAAAGATAATCCATCTGACCTGCATCAGAAGCAGCTTTTGGTGTGCTGTGTTTCTGTTAAACATCTGGCCACCTGAGGTGGCACTGTTATGCTCTCTGAAGGATTTATATGACTGGGATTGACTGCATCCCCTGGATCCAAAAGGCAGAAAGGCCCAGAGGTAGCATAAACCTGGTGTTTGGCTGAGGTGTGAACAGGCAAGCTGGAGCTCACTTTCTCCACAGGGCAGATCCTCAGATGTTGCAAAGTGTCCTGGCTACTGGAATTGTAGACACTTATGTCATTCAAGATCTGTCCCAAATGCTTAATAACAACCAACCACCCCTGTTTCCGGATATTTTCTTTTACACATCCTGCTTGGTGAGAACTTACTGCTACTAGAATTTTGCCGTGACGCGTCTCTGAAATGCAGATCCAAGAATGCATTTTATACGTTTATGACTGGCAATAAATCTCAAATCATTTGAAACCACTGGTTTAGCCAGCTCTCCCTGTTTGAGAACAGCTACTTCACCTTTGTTTCTACTGCGTGGTTTTCAATGTGTTACCTGTTCAACTCCTATGGAGCAGTGCTGTGACTAAATCCCGTAAAATCCATTGGCAGCCTACAAACGTGTTGCAAAACATAACCTTTCCTCATAAGGCAGCAAAGACCTGACATTTCTTTTCAGACTGCTTTCAGCTTTTAATATTTAATATTGCAATAATCCATTTTCTATCATGTTCTTTTTATTTAATGAGTTGTTGAAAATATTTACTTTCTTCTCCAAACATCGCTGTCTTGTAATCGCTCTGGAGGCATCTGGAACTAAAATCTTTGATGCTCTGTTTATCTGATTTTAGCTCAGTCAAAATTTCTATCAGAGAAGTCTGGAAATCATTAAGATAATTTATGTTTTCCATCTAAACCCATTAAAATAATAGTGATTGTAATTCTCTAGGCTCAGTGTATGTGTGTGGTTGCTTTCTAAACTTTGTCATTTCCAGGATGTTCTCATAAGCTTGGCTCTCCTTTTGCCTTAGTGTGGAAGTACAACTGCTGAGTTACAATCATTATCTTACTTTGGCTTGATACTGGAAGAGAGATATGAAAAAGGATTACTGAAATTGGTGAAAAACAACCAAGAAGGGGAGAATTTCAGACAGAGTGACAAGATCTGGGTTCAATTCCTTCTTCTCCTGCAAATTGATTTCTCTCAGTTTTTTGTCTGAAAGTGAGGGATAATTCTCCTTTTCCCCCATCCTTTTCTCAGTCTAGTATCTCCAGAATGGAAGATATCTTTGATACATGCATATTGCGTAACAAAAACTGACTCCAAAATATAGAGATAGGGTCAAGGGGTCCTAACTTCTTGTTAAGATGGATGACATTGCTGGGAAGTCAGCACTTCTTTGGAATTTGGGGGGGCACCTAACAAATATCTCTACAGTTCAGGTTTATTTCACAAATGCATTCCCAGACAAATTCATGTTAGTGCAACCTTTTAACAACTGTTGAATAATATACTGAGGATTTTGGGGTAGCCAACACCAGCAAAAAGTTCTGGCATGTGGGATAAGTTTAACCTTTGATAGAAATGTCAGCTTCTGTCAAGATCATTAAATACTTGTTTAGTCTTCTACAATATTTTTGTTCATTTTCAGTTAATAAAATATTCAACAGAACCTACTAAATTTCTTTCTCTCCCACATGGTTAAGAGGAAACTTTTGCATGCAGTGAAAATTGTATAACTAACTGTAGGCAGTTTGGAAAATACAGATATGAGAAAATATATTAACTGGGAGCCAAGCCATCTAATTTACTGCCAGGATTGGTCTTCTGAACTAAACAAAAAAACAACTATATTTATTACTGTAGCTTAATTAAGTGAATTAAATTTTTTAAAAGTATTTGGGACCATCCATGTTGTGCTTTCACAAACAAAGCCAAGTGCTCTAAGCAGAATGAGGGAACACTGTGTCTAGATGGTGATGGTCTGTCCCTCAGCAAATGCTGTCATTTTTTTTGTAATGTGGCTGTGGTACAAGTCTAGGAACCCAAGTCCAAGATTTATCACTGAGACCACTACATTTTTAAGCATAAAGAAAGTGTAAGCTGTGCTCTAGTCTCTGGCTCTTGGAACTGTCTTTTCAAAATCCTGTATTTAAGCTAAAACTCTTAAGATATGTGTCTATATACTTTGGCTACTGATACACCTTGCCTACAAAACAGTAATCTGTAAATAGTGTTCTCTTCTATACAGTAGGCATTGATGAATTGTTTTATGTTAGTCTTCAGATAGAAAAAAAATGTATGAACACTTGCATAGTGATAAATGGGAAAAAAGATAATGGTTAAAGACTATATCACAGGTGACTTGATGTTACTGTGAAAAACCTGGTCTTTTTAATGACAGAAGTACAAAAGATGTAGAATTGCATTATTACTGTTATATCCTCAATAACCACATGTAGCCCTTTCTTTCTAGGTAAGGCACTGAGCCCTGTGATAGAAAGGCAACTGCAGTGACAGATGATTTATATTTGTTTATTTGCTCGTATTTATGGTTTCAGCTAAACAATTCACTATCATGAACTCAATTTTCTCTGATGCAGAAAAACTAATTTTTCCACTTTCTGTAGCTGGAAAGTAGGGTGGTGTTACTAACATTTTGGTTTCTTCACCAGCAGTAGCAAGTAAATTCAACCTGGACATTTTAAGATAAAAGTATGTTTTGCCTGTGCAAACTGCCACTGAGGCTGAGATACCATTGTTGCAAAGCTTAGAGCAAACAGAGCAGCTGTTTCAGCCCAGTTTAAACACGGTGAACAAGAGTGAAGCATATTAACTCCAGCTGTGTACTGATAACAGCTGGGAAGGAAAATCACTGCAAGGGAACCCTAAGTAAACTAGCAGGCTTAGTTATCGTGAGTGTGCCTCCAAGGGAGGAGCAGCAATGAAAATCTGATCCTTAGAACCATGGAGGATTTAGTGAGAAATTCCCATGCCTCTTTTTTTGCCTCTGTGAAGATGCAGAGCAGGTTCTGGAGTTGGTGGCGTTGCCTCTGAAGATTGTTGATGCAGATCTCATGCTGCACTTACATTCATGGGCAATTTTGAGATCAAAGCAAGCCCTCAGTGATGGGTTCTGTGCATCCATTCTCTGTAATGGTGAGCAGAATATTGCACCCCTGCCCTGTCTGCTTAGAGACTATGCAGTAATCTCTCCAGTAGCCTACATTATTCCAGAATAATATGTTCCAGTATTCAGGCTACTTCTGAGGTTTTTGTATTTGAGTCACTTGTATTTTGCTCTGTTGAGCACAAAGAGCAGTAGAAAACTAGAGGAAATGATAAATATCACTCAGTGGTAAACCCAGTAAAAATTATTCAGAGAAGTTGTATCAAAGCAAATATTCTCTTAGGTCCTTGTTGCAGTAGAATAATGGTTTACTTAGGTTTGGGTTTAATGGGAATATATTTTAAGAATTTCCTTCTAATCGATACTTTGCGATAGCTTACAATTAAGAAAAATTCTGAATCAGTTATATAGTTGTAGTACTAAACCTTCATTGTATTTCACACTGGTATTTTAAAGATAACAGGTTAATGTAGGGCTTCCTTGTGAAGATCTCAGTATCTCAGTGACTGCAAAAGCCCAAAACATAAATAGCAGTACTGGAGGTACTCTGTGTTTTCCTCCTTTATCCTACTTGTCTTTCCCATCTCTTCAACTTGTGTTCATGTTCTGTTCGGTGTCTTCTAACCTCCGTGGAGTTAGAATCGTGTCTTGGGTATGTTCTACTAAGAACCTTGTGTACTTTAGATGGATGTAAAAGGACTAGACTTACACAGCTAAGGTTTTGGACAGGAGGCAACACAGCTGTCTGTGTTCCTCTGAAAAGAGAACATAAGGATATGAATAAAGACATTTAAATGAGGCCAGTTAGCATTGTCATAAAGTTCTTTTAATGTTAACCAGCTGTTAGAGACTTGTTCTCATTCTTTAGTAGATTACATGCCTCTTATTTTGCTGAAAGTCAGCGTGCTCTATTTCTGTATGCACAGCAGACAGTTATATAATAAACCAGGTCTTCAGTTTCATGTGTATACAATTATGAGAAAGCAGTAGTTCCTCAAAGAAGGCAGTTTTGGCATCATTCATAAAGAGTGTTTTCAAGTTAAAAGTATGGATTATGTTGAGTGAAAAATGTAAACACATATAGATGTATGTGAAAATAGTAGAGCAGTGAAAGAGGATAGGAGAAACATGAACAGGAGAAATGGAATAAAAAACACATCCTGCAAATGACTTGACAAGACCACATCAAAACAGCTTTAAAGTTGGGTAAACTCTAAAGCCCAGTGGCACACACAAATATGAGGAGAATTTTAGTGTCCCCAAAAGACAGAGGACCTGTCTGAGTGGATCACTGGAAGTATTTGGATGCTATATGTTAGTTATTGTCTCTTTCCTTGTTATATAAAAATAATTTGTCTCAGAGAGAGAAATCTGATGGCTCTGATCCTTTAATGACTGAAGTAACTTTATCACTGACCTTGGGACTGTGTCCAATAAGCAGTTGCATATTAAATAACCAATACTATTGCATTCCGATTACAGCTATTCCCATCTACTACTGTTTGGTTTATTGTGTTTTTCAGGTTTGATTGCTGCACTGGAACTTTGATTGTGGTCCCCTCTAAATTGCAACACTGAAAACAATGGCAACAGAATATATAAAAACATGCTGCAAATGGTGTTTCTGCATGGAAAAGGAAAAAAATGACCGTGAGTTCTGACATAATGACATCAACTAAAGGTTTTGCTGTTCTGGTTTCATTAATAGTGAAATTTCCCATTAATAAAATGACTGTGTCACCTTGGTAAACTTGATTTTTTTTACAACATCCAAAATTCTTTCCATATGTCCCCTTGGAGATTGAACACATGCTTTTAAGTGTCATGAATTGGAACTAAGAAATAACACTTGTCTAGAGTCTGCTCTTTGCAGTCTAAAATACTTTCCAAAGAAGCCAGCTTTTTTACCCAAGGTTGTGTAAAGGTTTTGTCTCTCTCAAACTCTCAGAATTTGAATGCTTTTTTTTTCTTTTTAGCTCTGTAGATTTACTGTCAGAATTTTCTCTGCTGTCTCAGTTGTTTGAAGAACTCTTCAATGATGCAAGTGTAGCCTTTGTGAAAATTCACGTAAGAGGAAGGTAGCTATAAATATAGAAGCCTGGGCAACAAAGAGTTTGGATCAGTACAGGTGTCAGGAGGAAGAATATCTTTTCCAGTTGCTAGTTCTGAATGCAGTAAAACTGAATCCTAGCAGCTGTTAAGTAATGTATCAAGCACAGATACTATTAAATAAAAGGGATTTGTTCCTAGTATTGTTCAAAAATTAATGCACATGTGGACTGTCTGTTTTCCTTGCTCTTTATTTTTAGCAGTTTCCATGGTGCAGGACTCTGAAGCAGGAGCTGCAAGCAAGCCAACTATTGTAGAGAAGCCTCCATTGTCTTCTGTGTCAGTGAAGCGTCAAGTTGGCTGTTCAGAGGATTATTTGCTTTCTAAACTGCCCCTGGATGGTCAGGAGGTACCTTTTGTGGTCCCTCCATTCAGACTGTCTTATGTACAGCCGAAGAACCTTCCTAGCGTTTCACATGCTGGAGGGATTAAAGGTAAAATACAAACAGCATTGCTGAAATAGTTGTTTAGCTTCTGCTACTCCTTGAAAGTTATCAAGTGTTCCTACTGAAAACATATGTTTGTAGAACTTTTCTAGAAGCCTGGTCTTGTTTCAAAGAATCATAGAATATCATTAGTTGCAAAGGACCCACAGAGGTCATCAAAGTCCAACTCCTGGCCCTGCACAGGACACCCCAGCGTGTGCCTGAGTGCATTGTCCAAATGCTTCTTGATCTCTGGCAGGCTTGGGGCTGTGACCACTTCCCTGGGGAGCCTGGAGAGCTTTTTTTTTTCTCTCTGGTCACCCAGAGAGATTTTGGGAAGTATGTCATCCCACTGTGAATCTCTGTGATGTTGCATGAATAACACTGAAAGGGATGATTGCACACCAATGTTCATTCTCAAAAGTAATGGAGGACACCTAAGGGAAACAGAATCTTTAGCAAAGAATTTGCTGGAGGCAAGGAAAGACCTAACACATCCCAGCATCCAGATCACTCAAGTAAAAAGAGGAGGGTGGCCTGGCTTTCATGGTTAATATACTGATATGTTTTAACATACTAACACATCTTCCTTTTCAAATTTTGCTAACAGATGGCATGCGCTACTACTTGGCAGAATTTTTTGTCCCTAATATTTCCTATTTCCTGCTTTTTTTCCTGCTTTTTGGGAGGCTGGGGACACAGATCTCCATGGTACGAGGTTGCACATGATGTTATGATTTTTTGCTTCACGGCAGTCTTGTGTTTCAACCTCTGCATGTTAGTCCCATACTCAAACAGCCAAAATGATGTATATGCAGTTTAGACACAGTGGCATTTTAAAAGAACAGGATCCTGACCCAGTAACATGAGTTACAGGGCATATGCTATCGTTAGGCTTTTAGTCCTGCCAGAAGATGCCTAGAATTAGGTAAGGGAAAAATTTGGCACAGGGACATACCTGAACAGTTGCTTTTTCTAGCATTTCCTTGTCTCAAGGATGTCATAAGCTGGGAATATGCTTTTCATTCCATGTGAATGTACTTCTTTTCTGGAGGTGGAAACCTTAATAACTGAAAAAAGTCAACTACCTGTTGCATAATAACTAATGCAGCACTATGTAACTTTTTCTAAGTTTGTGTGGTTTCATTCCCACCCTTCTCTCTCTCCCTGTGTCCTTGCCATTGCTTCTTGTCTCCTCCTGGGGGCCTATTACCAAACTTCCTCCTCATCCACCACTGCTGGTAACACTGGCACCAGAGCCAAGCTAATCAGCCCAGCAAAGCTCTTCGGTGTAGATTGGCCATTCTGTGCCTGATATTTTTCGTGGGCTTTACTTGTGATGTCTCACCAGACATGAACAGGCCACTGAACAGCTGGAGGTAGAACACGTGAGGCCCCCCCTCATCTCTGAGCCTCATCTCCCCATTGCTGCTGCCTGCTATTTTGGTAGCTATTTCTTTTAAGTCCACAAACGGACATGCTGTGGAAATGCAGGACATGCTCCTGATAATCCCCTTTCTTACTGGGTCTGGGTTCAGACTTTACCTTGCTTTGTCCTATTTCATCCTCAAGATACTATAAAGAGAAGTCCAGCAAGGACTCTGAGGCATGGATATTCTCCGGGGAGATATGACTAACAGCATTTAAGTGAATGTTTTCTTTGTTCACGCTGTTCTACACAATCTTATCAGTTGGTGTCTGCGTTGGGAATTCTGGTTCCTGGTCATTTCTGAAGGACCTGGTGTAGAGAGTGGCCCTTAGGCTATAAGCTGGTAGATCTTCTGGCAAGATGACCTGACTCTTCGTAACTGTCTCTCTTGAGCAAATATTTTAAATTCTTGGGCAAATATTTGAAAAGTAGCTCTTATGTCAAGTAGGCAACTTTCATTTCTATTTCCAGATATAAATACTTAATTTTTTAAAGTACAGCTTTCTAAGCCTCATTAAAATTGTGTTTAAAAATGCAGCATTTAGTTTTCAGGAGATTTACTAAATACAGTGAAGTGTGCTGTCATTCCTTCCTCACGTTAGCCAAACCACCAGCATACTCAAAAAATGTATTTAGAGTATTTTTTTCTTAGACCATTGTTAAATATCTGTAGAAATCCAAGTTCTGCTCTCAGTTCCACTCCATTTTCTGTGCATGTCTGGCCATTTTCCTTTAGTGAAACAGGACATTCTCAGTGTTAGCTCCTGGCATCCCTTCTGAAAGCAATTAAGTTCTGGCAGCCTTTCTCTTCACTACTCGCTGCACTGTGTCTCATGCTCTCACAGAAGTAAGCTAGCAGGAAGAAGTGTGCTCCTGGTCTGGAACACTGGCTTTTCCATCATCTGCTGTGTAGCAATTCTTTATGGCCTCACTTGTAGCGTTCATCTTAATTTACGTCATTCCCCAGCCCATTATGCTTGAATTCGTGCTTTATTGTTGCTCCTGTTCCATCTCAGTGTTTCAGTTATTCCTTTTCACTTCACCAGCATGTGAGGATTTTACAGCAGTGATAGTTTGCCTCTTATGGTGCAACACACTTGCAGAAGGCACTTTATTGTGGGGTAAATAACTTTTTAAGAGATAAGTTGAAGTCCAGGGAGGTGAAGCGAACAAAGCAAATGTCAAAGTTTGGCAGAATCCATGTCATCCCATTCTCAAATGTACTGTTATATATGGCTTCTTTTCACTCTAGACAGTAAAGAACACTACAGCAGTGTTCTTCACTGTTTTGCTGACCAAGATCTATGTGTCCTTTTCTGAAATGATTATGGGCTGGGTAAAGGGCTGGGATTCAGGCATTCTCAGATATGTCTACTTGTGCTTCAGCCAACAATTCAAGTCATTTTGGACCAGTGATTTTGCCATGGACAGACTTCCCATGGAGACTAGATAAACAAGGAGAATGCAGTCACAAGCTGCATTATCTTTCCATATAAGATCTTCCTGAAGGTGTTGGGGTCCATTAGCTGAGTGGGAATATCCTGGGAATAGGTAGCCAAATAAATTGGAGGTTTTCTGTACACAGGGCCCTAATTTTCCTGTTAATTTCCATCTTGCTGTCTGTCTGTGGAGCCTTCTGTATTTTAACTACTTAGGCATTTACTGCAAAACTCCAAGTATGCATAGTTTTTAGGGCCAATTAAATTCCAATGTTTGCTCGCACACTGTGAAAACCTGACATAATGTGAATGTGTGTTTTCTTTTTCTTTTTCTTTTTTTTTTTCCTTTATCCAAAGTAGATAATATTGAAATATTTTGTCCTTTGCCCTGAAGGCACTCTGCCTGCCTTATGAAGCCAGGCAGCGTGTGTTATGTCTGGAACTCTTGCATTTGATGTTTACTTGTGCTCCACAGAGTCCGCCAGGGCCTCATTTGGTGAGCGGAAGGCAGAGCTGCACGGCGTGTACCAGTGGCCCCGCTACGACGTGTACAACCCCTTCTATTTGGAGCACCGGGTTTCGCCAGATCTGATTAGGCGCTTCCAAGCAAAATCAGATAACAGGAAATTATATGGATCAGGTGAGGAGGACCACACCCTTACTTTTCTGTCTTCCTCCCTTTTTCAGGGTTTATAGGTAAGAGGGGAAAAAAGCCATTAGTCTACAGAAGACAGTTCCCAAGCCAGTCTGTATGCTTCTTGGATGGTGAATCAATCTGTAGAGCCAGCTCTGCTGAATTTTCAGCTGTACTGTTACTTTTTGTCTTTTGGGGGCATCAGAAGACTCCATGCATCACACAAAGGTAGAGAAATGGGTGAAGTCAGCTACTGTAGCTGCTTCTGATCCCAAACAGGATGCAGTACTGGAGATTTCAGCTCCCAGTGTCAGGAGCAAGGGAGCCGGAAAAAGGAAGGCAGGCAGTATGTTGAGTGGAGGAATGTCTGAGGAGTACATGCATGGGAAGAGAAACAAGCACCAAAAAACATTCAGGAGCAGATGATAAGAACAGGTGCAAAATGGGACATGATGCTCTATACCAGCTCTTCTGTAGTTTGCTTTTGAAGCTGCAGAAGTGTCCCCACTTCTTGCTGTATGTAAGAATGGGGGAGGGCTGCACGATAGTAAAAGTTCAGATAGAAAGTGTTTGGCTACCTAGGGAAAAATTATCTTCTGTGCTGCTTATTGGTATATGTATCCTCTAATGAATGCTGTTTAGACTAAAGTAGATGACTAGGTGTTGTTTGTGATTTCTAAGGCAAATACATTCAGAAAACTCAAACACTTGAAGGAATGTACTCGCCTCTCCGTTAAATCGGAAGCTGGCAACAGCATGCCTTTTTAAAGATGTTTTATTTAGAATGGTATATCATGCTTATTTTACAGCTGGGGGGAAATGTCTCAGTCTGTGTCCTGTTTCAAAATAACTCTGAATCACCATAGAGACTACATGAAAAGACTACTCCATATATTTTTTTAAGAGAACAAAACACATGTAGAGTTTTAGCAGCCTTTAACACATATGGTTTTACTAGGCTCTGGAAGCACCTGTGGTGGGAGCCAAATGGGTTTTATAAAACTGTCTTGAACATCTTCCCTTCAGTTCATCATCTCTTTTTCCATTTTTCTTCAAGCAGAGTAAACACTTTACTAGTTTTGTCTTACTGAGTTTAAACACAAGAAAGGTTACTCTAGTGTGTCTAGAGTACAGTTTTAAAAGGCCTTCTTCCTCCAGAGTTTTTTGACAACTGTTTCAGAAGTTAGATGATTCTCTTCATGTGCATCTGTAGACTATTTAGGCAAAACTCTAAGCCTAGTTTGTTGCAGCAAGTGTTATGATACTTTTCATTTGTGTGGGTTTAGAACTACAGGATGCATTTATTTGGAATGTATGAAGTGAAATTTTAGAACTTTAATATGAAGTCCCTCCTCTTCATCTTAAAAAAAACCCCACATAAACAAACTGAAAAATAAATTTATTAATGTTTTCCCATATTCTAGTTATTATTGATAAACAACATATTTTTATGGTTAAAATTTTTCTGCTTTTTTAGTATTTTCTTCCTTGGGAAACGAAATAATTTTTCTGTATTCTCTCATCTTGCAATAACCATCATTTGTTCTTTCTTTTGATAGCAATAAAAAGGACATAGATTTTCAGTAACGAGAGATGTAATTCTGTTAAGATAATGATCAGTGGATTGCAGTGGAGGTCTTCTGCAATCCCATAACACAGCATTGCAACAAAAAGCAGTTCATTGCATCAGATGGTCCTAGAAGTTAACTATGCTCATTCATTTCAGTATGAGCCATTTTTGAGTTGGGTGGCTTTAAAAACCTCTTGAACATCGCTAGATTCAGCAGATTCCTGAAATAGTGGCATTAGTTCAGCTTTCACTTACTGCTGCTGCATAATTATGCATAGAAAATGTCCTTTAGCTCTGTATTGAGTTGGGGTCAAAAGAAAACTGATAGCATCTACTTAACCACCAACTGCTGAGGAAACCACCCTTCTATAAAATAAAGATTTTGTGTTTGTGCTATAACAGGTACACGTCATCTTAGAGTTAAGATTTGCTTTGTCTGAGATCTAGTAAGGATGTGGAGTGTGGTGCTTTGGCACAGTAATCAGCAAAGCCAGGAAGATGAGGCCAAGTTTAGCAGGTGGCATGATTTTGCCACTGGAAGCTTTACTGTGGAAAAATGTTGTTCCTTGGATGTAATTTAGCTTGGTTTCAATTCTACCATAGGTCTACTTAAGTTTTTTTCTAGCAATGATGCTGACGTGATTTATATTATTCTCTTGGTCTTTTTAGTTAGTGATTTAAGATCTAGTACTTTGCCTGGATCACTTGATGTGAGTCGTTCAATGTTTGATCTCAGAAGCCCACCTCATCGATCCATGAAGGTGAGTTCCCCTTATAGCTATAACTTAGGCTATACTGAAAACACGGATTACTCGGTGTATCTGTTCCTGTTGCACTGTGTTTTCAAAGTAAATACAAGGGCATTGTATTGTGCACTGGAAGGACTAGAGGGGAAAGTTCAACATCCTGACCAACTTCAAGAGGCCTTTTCCTGAGGCTCCTCTGACATGCTCTTCTGGCCCAGAAGGGCTGTTGAGAAACCCAAGCAGGCTGTTAGGCAGGACAAGACAGACAACAGTCATGGTTCCTCCATCAGTGGAAAAGTGGAACACTGTAAGTTTCCATTGACACAGAACACTACCTTTTTTTTTTTTTTTAAGTAATCATCTTTTAGATAGCAATGAACTTGTGTATATATATATATCCATGAGCAAAACAAATCTGTGCTGGTCAAATGGGTCCTGTATTAGCTTATTGTACCAAAACAGTAATTGATGGTGGATTAAGAGACTAGTAGGGAATGAGGCAATTATTTGAAAATGAGTGGTTTGTTTTCATCATGTCTTGTCTGATGGTATAATCTCTCTGGGTTTTGCATCTGTTGCTCTGAATTAAGTGATTTTTTTTTTTGTCCCCCCACCAGAGATATGATTCAGTCTCCAGTGTACCCAGCAGTACTTCTTCCAGGAAGGATTCACAAGGCAGTAACAGGAGTCTGGGTAATGTTTTGTTTATTTACCTTGTAATGAAATATTAGAATAGAAACATTAAGCTGTTTCTATTGTTGGTTTGTTGTGGGTTTTTTGGGATGACTCTAACTAGCAGATCAGTTTGGAGATTACTTTGCAATTTGAAATTGAGTTTTGGACTTGCCCCTTCCTGTTGTCAGGAGACTGAGCAAATGAGACTTTGAGTAGTTCTCATGCTTTTGAGAAATTCATCCCTGGATTCACTACCCTCATGAACTAAGAAATTACAGGCATTCTGTTAGGGTAGAATGCAGCACTAGGTCACAGGTCTAGTCCTTCTTCATCTCTCAGTACAGTATTTTTCTATGGGAAGTGCCTGAAATCCAGTACATATATTACGGTGGTAATTAGACACAAATATTGCATGCAAACCCAGTATCCTTATTTATGAAAGAATGCTGAAGAAGTGGAGATGCTGCAAAACAAACCTTCAGAAATTAATCAAGTCCCCACGAAAGTCACTCTGCTAGAAGCCAGAATTTCTCCCAGTCTCCTCGAAAAGAAGACTGGGGGCAATGACCTAGTTCTAGTCAGGACAGAGAAATGCTGGATACTAAATGCCTCTTCTGACTTGGAGAAAGCATAATAGTAAAATGTTTACTATGGAATTGAAGTCTGAGAAAGATAAACAGGAGGCCAATTTATAAACTTAACAGTGGAAGAGATTAAGGGAAGTGATAGAATATAAATGTGTTCTGGGTGTCTCAGGCATATGATTTTTTTCTTTCTAAAAGTTGTTTGAGTACAACAAGTTGTACTTCAGTAGAGATAACTCAGGCACATGTATGATTCTTCATGTGGACCTCTGCAGGACCAGGAGTTGGACTTGAATGATCCTTAGGGGTCCCTTCCAGTTCAGGATATTCTATGATTCTGTTCTGTGAAATGTGAAGGCTTTTAGCTATGCAGAAGGTCAAGCTACAGAACTTGGTGGATATTTTGTCATTAAAATGTAGGTACTAAAATATTTCAAACTTATTTTGAGAGGGGTTTGCAAAGATAAACAGTCCCCCTACTAACGAGTTCTCGTATTCCTGGAATGAACATTTAAGATACCACATTACTTCTAAAAACACTAATTGGCTTTCTTCCATAGATACTATTACATTATCAGGAGATGAACGAGACTTTGGAAGACTGAATGTGAAGTTGTGTTATGTTTCTTCTGTGGAACAGATTTGGATCACAGTTTTACATGTAAGCTAATATAAATAAGTTGTTTATTTATTCAAATTGCTATTTTACTATACTTAGTGTTAATTCTCATTAAATTTGGCTCTCTTGTTACTTTAATGAATACTTTTAGGAGAAAAATAAAATTACTTCTAAGTATTAATATAAACAAACTTCAGTCAAATCTAATGCTGGGCTTCAAAGCATCTTGCCTCTCCTTGATATTTTTTTCCTGTTACAATCCCTGTTCTACTTCAGTCAATACTAAGAAGTAATATACAACTCCTTATGTTACTATACATATGTTAACATGTTCTGGTTGTGGAGTGAGGAACTGTTCAGCATAGATTAGAAAGCTGAGATGGTCATAGGCTGGTCCTGCTGTGGACATTTTCCTGGGGAAATCTGAAGGCAGTAAATGGGAGCAACTTTGGAGGCAGAATTTAAGTGACTTCTGTGATTCTATGATTCTATGACTTTAAATCTAACAGTTCCTTCAGAGCAGAACCCTGATAGCACTTTGAGGGCACACAGCTTCTTGTGGCTCTTTTGTAAGCAAATGTGATACTGTTATGGTGATTGGTTTATATATTTCCAGGAATTGTGAGTAATTTTTAGGCAACGGAACTTTTAGTAGTCAGATACCTCAGGACTGTATCAAATGGTAAAAACCAGTCTTACATTGTCTAAACTGACTGTGTTTTCAATGTTGCAGTGCAAAGACCTGTGCTGGCCTTCTAGCTGCGGGGAAAATCCTCGTATCTGTGTCAAGGGAATTCTCACACTGCCCAAACCAGTGCATTTCAAATCTTCTGCCAAGGAGGGCTCAAGTGTAAGTAGAGTCAGGGAAAACACTGAGAAATCTTTTTCCCAAGGAAAAAAACCACAAACATTAATTGTAAATGGATTCTTAAAATGGATGAAACATTCACTCCTATGCCATGTTTGCTGTGGTAATTGCCTAGATGTGGGTTACTTCCCCCAACTTCTCAAAATCCTATTAAAAGCCTCATTACTCTTCCTCCCCCTGTATCCTCTCTTGAATTGCACTGTTGCCCTCCTTCTCTCATAAGGCTGCAGGACAGATGCTCAGAGGGGACTGAGCCATGAGCTGCTGGTCTTGGCAACTCCATAGTGGGGAACCAGAGGAAGACTGGGCATACCTGTAGGTGCCCACTCATCCCAGGGAAGGTAGCTGATGTACTACTTCTCATATGGCAGGAGACAATATTAATACTTTGTCTTTACAGAAATTGTAAGAATTTCTTGCATAGGACAAGATTCCTTAGAGGCAGTAAACGAATATTAAGGGGGTGGAAGAGAAAGCAACATAGACCTCCCATAATGTGAGCCAAAGGTGAAAGAAAATAAAATCAGTTGGAGAGACTGTAGCAAAAGGCCACCACAGAATCTGTTATAACAGTGTGTATGTGCTGCCGTAAAGCTCCAGAAGAGATGGCCACAACTCGTTACAGTCGTGAAGAATTATCCAGAGCTTTGCCCCTGCCAGAGTGCAACAGTGAGGGGTGAGTCTGTGCAGGCTTACCACGATAAAAGCACGCTTTGCCATGGCAGCCTGAAATGGTAGTTGTGAGCAGTGGCTATAGAACCAAGACACCTTGCTTTCTAGGTTTTGGGCTCAGTGGGACTCTCTTAAAATGTGATGTTACTCCTCTGTTTTTCTTTCTAGGACATTGAATTTATGGAAACTTTTGTATTTGCTATTAAACTGCAAAGCCTGCAGGCTGTCAGATTGGTATTTAAAATCCAGACACAGACTCCCAGGAAAAAAACAATTGGCGAATGTTCCTTGGCACTGCAGGAGCTGAGCTCGCAGGAATCAAATCATTGGCTGGAAGTCTCTCCTCCTTCCAAAGCACCTGTAAGTGCCAATACTGTGAAAGTGTGTTGTTATCTCACCTAGAAAGAGTTGCTGGAAATGAAAGTAAAGTAATTCAGTAGTAAAAATGAGAGGGTTTATTTGTTTTTCTTTTCCCCACGTCCTTGGGAAAGGCATTTTGATGGGGAAAAAATGCAGACTTTTGAACTCTGCACATAGCTGTTCTGGTCATAAACTGCAGCTGTTTCTAGGAAAATAGCTAGAGCAGACTCTTCCACACCATGGCCCACAGCTTGAGGGAGGGGCATTCTGGGAAAATGTTCAGCAAAGGACACTGGGTAATTGTCTTTTCTGACCAAAAAAGCATCAGAAGATCCTTAGCACTCACAGCAAGAGCTCAGAGCAAATGGAATCTGCTTTTGTTGTGGAAGAAAAGTGCTAAGATCTTCAGTGGCTTGAAACTGCAGAGACAGACATATATTTAATGTTCACATTGCATGCTGTGAAGTAATAATTCATACAGTTCATTTCCACTAGAGTAATAAGAAGCAGGTGGTTTTCACAGTGGGATTTCCTTTCCCCCTACCCTTACTTTGTTTGTTTCTTTTATAGATTGTGTCTAGACGTTTGTATTTTCAACAAATTAAACTTGAATTATCAGTTCAAAAGCAAATTTTATTTTTAGTGTGTCTGAGTAAAATGAATGATACTCTTGATTTCAAACGCAAGCTACACTTGACATTTTTTAGTTCTAACAAGAATAACTATATTGCTTCAAAAGCAGAAGGATTAACAGAGAAAGCATTTTAGAAAGTGTTTCATCTCAGTGCAAATTTCTGAATCATCTCATAGTATCTCTCTCTGTGTATTGGCTTTCCTCACCATTATATCCAAGAGCCCTCCAGCCCTGTGCTACCCTGTGAGGCAGCAAACAGTCCCCTCCCTGCCAACAGAAAGCCAAAGCTGAGTCGAGTAAGTGGCTTCTTCGCAGGGTTACACAGCAATTCTGCGGCTGAGCTGCAAAGAGAATTTGGGTCTCTTTGAGGAACTGGAGCCTGACTTCTCTTTACCTGACCTGTTGTTCTCTCACTTGGTGCATTTTGCTTCACTGAAGTGCATTAAAACTTGAAGGGAGCCAAGACTAGCAGAGTCCATTTAAAGGGAGGCTGTCAGGAAAGGTGGGTCTCCGTTGGCCTTTTCCTGTTGCTCTTACAGTGTTCTGAGTATGTTAGTCTGACAGGAGAGCAACAAGGATGACACAATCAACTTTGCCACTAGCAAAAATTCTAAAAAAAAAATAGAATAAATAGACTGGAGATCTTGGTTCATTCAGAGTGCGTGCCAGGTAGGGGTGTAGGCATATAAAACACAAGTGCTTCCATAACACAGGAAACTCCACAGTGTGCAGTCACACGAAGCATTCATGACAGGGCTTTGTATCTATGGAAAACATTGCTTATATCTCCATATTGCAAAATTCAGAAGCGTGGGAGGAGAACTCCGATGGTTTCTGTGTAGGTGGAGCACTCTTGGTCTCTCACTTCCACACCCAGGTTTAGTAGAGCTGCAGCAGCATGTCTGGTCTTCCCTGCCTGTGTCTGCTCTTACCAGTGCAGACTCTTTCCCAGGTGAACACTGAGGACTCGTTTATTTGCCCCCACCCCTGGCTGCAGCCCACGAGGGCCGTGGGTGCACTGCACATAGGCAGTCTGTCAGCAGAGCACAGGCACTGCAGCTATGACAAGTGCAAGAGGCACTTACTGTGCATCTGCAGGCTGTGTATGCAGCACATGCTCATGTTTCCGTCCAGGAAATCCCAGATAGAAATGCGGGAGCCCAACATATGACAGAATTCCTGTGTTTCCTGAGTTTATAAGCAACTTAATCCACATGTTATGGCAACATTCTTCTGCTTGTAGGTGCGCCGTGCAGAACTTCAAATAGGAACTTGTTTTCAAGCAATAAACAGGAGGATACAGTTACAGATTCTTGAAGCCCAAAACCTTCCTGTTTCATCTACGCCACTGTCTTCAAGTAAGTTACATCAGCTGTTTCATGCCTCCTGTCTAAAAAGCATTTGTAACAGGTTAATTGCTGATCAAATGGGTTGGCAGTTCATAACATTCTTTACAAACCTCAGACTAACATATTGTGCAGTCAGTTTCCATTGCCAAGGCTTATTTTCCCAGATGTCTTACTTGATTACTTTTTGTTTGGTTTGAAGCTATGTGTTTATGTATTTTGGAAGATTTTTATCCCAGTATTAATCCTGACATACAAGAGCATTAGCTTGCACTTGCTGTTTGGATCCCATGTTAATCAGTTCAATATTACTGAACATATTCTGCTTGTGTGACTAGTCAGGAAAGCTATTGTACAGCTCTTTTGGCCAGACTTTTGAGAAACTGTTGCAATTTGAACCATACATATGGATCTTGTTGGTTCCTGTTTGAGTGTGTTTGTGAGTAACCCTTTGTGTGCTGTGCCTTTTTCCTTCCCTTTTGTGCCAGATTTCTTCGTGAAAGTTGGAATGTTTAGTACAGAAGGGATGATCTATAAGAAGAAGACTCGTCTGCTAAAGTCCACTAATGGCCAAGTGAAGTGGGGAGAAATGATGGTTTTTCCAGTTAGCCAAGCAGAACAAGGAATTAGCTTTCTCATCAAGCTCTACAGCAGAAGCTCAGTGAGAAGAAAACACTTCCTAGGACAGGTTAGTTTCTGCTAAATAGCCTGATCTTTTACTTAAAATCCAGTTCCACAGGTTTCTTGGTATGAGTTTTCAAACACTTTAAATGCGGTGGCATATAGCAAAATAGTAAATTCTAGTAAACTCTTCTGGATGTAACCCAAGCAAGAATGGTACTGGTTTCTTAAACAGGCACTAACATCAGAATAGGAGTTGACATTTGATTTTTCTTTTTAAAATAAATCCTAAAGTCAGTTTTGTGTGGAGTATTACAGTCTGAAAGATTCCTTCCAAGAGACACACCGTGTCCTCCTTGCCTCTAGGCTTTGTAAAGAAAACAAACACAGAGCACTCACAGGATCTCCACAGTCTACAATGTCCTGTACAGCAAGGGGGGTGTACACTTACAAACAGGTGTGTGTAAAAGGAAGTATCAACAACTACAATATGAGACCTCCTTCCTAGGAGGTAAAATCATGCTGAAATCGGTACTATATTCTAAGTATATGTGATAAATAATAGAGGTGTCCAAACACGAAGTATTTTTAGGCTTGTTTTTTTGTTTTGGTTTGGTTTTTTTTCAACAAACAGAACTTCAATAGTATTTCTTTGAAAGCATTTGTGTGACCATATTTATTTAACTACCATAAAACTTGGTAGTCTGGCCTCCTTATTCTCTCTGTCCTCTTCTCCTGGTTGTTCTCATTTACCATCATCCTCTCCCTTCTCTCTCTCCTTTTTTTCTTGGTATAGTGAGCCATAGCTGTTGTTGAAGTTCTCTGCTTTCTCTGACCCAGTTAGATGCAGTAGCAGAATTTCAATATATGCAAAAGTGAATAACGTAGAATTGATTTTGAGACCCCCAACTGTAATGTCCCATGTCAGACGGAAGACTGTGGTGTCCCTAGGTAAAAAAAAATGGTACTGTCCCATTCTGGTTGTATTTCTGTGCCTGGGGAACACATGCAGTTACAGGAGATGCTGATGTGCTTGCTATATGCTGTAGAAATTATATGCCAGCCAGGGTTATGTGAAGTTCCTCCATTTTTTGGAGTCTCATGTTACACGTCCCATCTTTCTGCAGTTCCTGTTGGTGGAATTGGATTTGAAACAGGAAAAGAAAAAAAAAATGTTCTTTTTAGTTGTACTACCCTGGGGAGAAAATAACTGGGTATGGTTTTGCAGTCCCTAGTAATATGTGAGGTCATCTCAGTCTGATGAGTTACATTTAATTCATGGATCTTATTTTTAGGGGGAGGAAATGAGCTACTTGTGCTCCTCAGAGATTATTTGGAAAAGGTTGTTTCAGCTCATGAAGGCAGACATTGCCACATAACACACGAAGACATAAAATATGGCTCAGGGAAAAATGTACTTTGAGCAATTGGCTGGGTAGCTGGAAAAAAATTGACTATAGCTGGATCTATTAACTTTGTCCTTCAGAGAATGATGTTTAATTGGATGCTGTTCCAAGCAGACAATACATAGATTAGGCTGCTTTTACAAGCATGTCTTTAATCATGAGCAAGATGTACATTGAATCTCTGTGGATGAAACATCAGCTGTCTGTGGTATTCTGGAAGACATTATTCTCACTTCTCAAGGACTCGTGCCCCAGCAGTGTAGGCTAAATGTACTTCATGGTCAAGGTTTCTGAGAAGTCTTAAAAGGACTCATTCTTGGAAGACATAAGGAAATGGAGTCCTGTAAATAACGATACCTACTTACATAAGCAGAATTCTTTTGGCAGTGGAGGCTGGTGATAATGTTGAGGGGGAAAATTTCCTACTTGTACTTCATTTCCCTATTTAATGGCCACTACCCATTAACTGAATACTGAGAAGAAACGGGCTCTTACTACGTGACTATGTGTGGTATGGGCATGTTAGTAAATGGAATGCAGGTTTGGCCCTGTCTGTGGGAGTGTGCAATTTTAAATGCTCATGGAAATGCTGGACAGCTCGTGTGGGGGATGCCAGATGGTTCGGGGCCAACTGCGTTCGCCACTGGCCCTGAGGAGCCCTTGACCCCAGCACGTGCACTTGAATAGAGCAAGGAATGCTTGACTTAAAACATCTTATTAAGTACAGAAACATTATGATGTGGTGGGTTCTCTAAACTATTTTAGAGGCTAAATTTAAACACAGACTCCCTGTGTTCCCAGCTGAAAGCCAAAATATGTTAGGATTAGCAGAACTGTATTTGTTGCTGTTATGCTTTGGTCACAGTCTGTATGTTATATCTTGTTCTACACTTGCATGTTATTTATTTGGAACTAGCAAAGGCTGAGCCTCTGTGTTATATCAGGTAAACTCAATTTTATTTTTGTTTTTGTTTCTTAATGCAGGTCTGGTTAAGTCCTGATAGCAATAACAGTGAAGCAGTAGAGCAGTGGAAAGATACCATTGCCAACCCTGAAAAAGTTGTTGTTAAATGGTACAGCATTGGTCCATCTTGAAGACTGGAGATAAAATTCAGAACTGATTTTTCTACAACAATTCCTATGCTGTCTAAAATGGTATAAATAAAAATACTGTCTCTGCAAGTTCAGAAGTTCTTCACTGCATCCTGCCTCTGTGGAAACTGGGGAAATTCACCAGGAGAAATACTGGCTAAATATTACTAAGAAGAAGACTCTAGGAACTGGGAAGAGTGTTCATTTGATTTCAAAAAATCCACCTTGAAAAAAAAGATTTTTGACCCTTTCAGGCTTCATAAAACCACAGAAATTCAATCTTGGAGAGAAGCAACTTGAATCAACTCTGTTTCACCAGTTACTGACATCATCCTCTTCTGCAGTCTTGTTTTTGGCAGATTCCAAAGTCCATGGGTATCAATCAGGCCAGTGGCTTGATCCTGGATGCCTGTGAGCCTCTGGGGTTGTTGACACCATTGGATCAGAGTAACGTTTGCTTGAGCGAGTGGGAAAGCTTGAGCAAGTGGCAGTAGGAGAAGGCATAAAGGGAACTACAGAACAGGGCCCCACCCAAAGGCTTTTCCACTCTCCATTTTCCATGAAGGGTTGTTCAGTACCCTGGCATGCCTGTAGCCTGAGTTTTCCCCCGTCCTTCTCTCGAAACAGAGAGATGGAAAGATAAGAGTTTCTCTGACTTAGTGATCTTTGCAAGAGGGGTCCTCCAGACTTGCTCTGTTTGGATAAATTCTGTTTGGAATCAATGGAATAATACAGAGGCAATGACCCTGCTCAGGAACAGAGCCAGTATTTTTAGATAAATTACTTTCTTATATAGAGTACTTACGTGTAAACCACTTCCTGTCTAATCAGCAAGGTTCTAGCATTTGCTTACATTGCCGAAGCCCAGACTAACATGTACAAAGGAGCAAAGATTTACTTACTTAAGTGCATTTTGATATTAATTAAAATGTAGCACTGTAAGGGACTCAGACTTTGTTTGAAGGATAGGCTACTACTGCAGAAGCACTTGTTACATGTCTATGATGCTGAAAAGTTATGTGTGGGAATATATTTTTATTACTTGTTTCTAGTAAGAAGAAATTACCGTATTTTTATTGCAAATTATATTTTTCCTACAAAATCCTAAGGTTATTTTTTCTATTAGTTCCCATATTTTCAGGGGGTTGTTCACAGTTATTTTTAAGAGGGGGAAATGTCATGTATATCATTGATAATATATAAATCTAAAAGCACAGACTCCATTGCACTAATTAACTATCGGATTGGAAAAATACCTATATATTCCATTAAATCTGTTGCTTACACATTTACTGTTGGCTGTCTGGACTGTACAAATATGTATATTTGTAAGGATGCTGAATAATTCCACCTTTCTTTGTAACTTGGATCCGGTTCCAACATCTGACAGGAACTAGAGTGGCAGTGAGAGCGCTCACTGCTGGAAGGTAAAGGAACATGGGGAGCACAGAAAAGACTGTGACAGGAAAATGTGTCCTCTTGAAGCATATGGCTCAGAGCATCTTTAGTTCAGTTTTTCTGTCTTCGAGTAAGTCTTCAAGAAAAAATGGAATCTCTTCGATTTCCCACCCCCAAATCAGTTGAAAATTTGAAATTTTTGAAACTTCAACCATCCAGATTTTTGTTGTTAAAATTTAATATTTTGAAAAGAAAAGGATTTTCCCAGGCTCTTATATGCTCTGCTTTTTGACCAGTCTTTATAAGAGAACTGAAAAAGGTCTTGCATGTTATTTGGAGAACAAACATCGGTTCTAACTCTTACTGACACTCTTTGCAAAGCTCCCAGTAGGCCCAGAGGATCTTGACTGACAGTGTTAACTTCCAGCCACTTACACTTCTTGGGAGGAGCCTGGCCTGTTGGGTAAAATGAAAAAAGGAACTGGACCAAACTGATATTTTTGGAGTATCTTTACTTGAATACGTGGATTTTTTTATTCATTGTGGCTGAACATTTTATTCATTGTGGCAGTAAACAAAAGTGCAAACTAACCATTTCCTTATGCAGAATGCTCTTCTGTTTAAAAGAGAGGACAGGGAATATCCCAGGGTTTTATAGACTTCAATTACCACAGCAGTGGTTCTACAGAGATTGCCAACTCAGTGGATATGTGTAAATGGACTTTTGGAGCTGTTTTAGGACACCTAGCCTTCTAAAGGCCTAACTAGTCTCTTTATTCCTACATTAATATTTAATCTATGTGTTTCTAATAAAAGCTATGAACAGAAAATATTCCTTTTTTTCCCAGTTGTTTATTTTAATGTTTACCATCATCTCAAACTGAAGTCCTACTTTTTTCTCTGAGAAAATCTCAGCTAATGAACTCTCCTGTAGTGTTGCCTGTAGGGGAGTTAACTGCTGACACACAAGCAAGATGCTCCCAGGTACTGGAGCACTCTGAAGAACATACTCTGGGGCACTGCTTCATCCTGTGCTCATCTCCAGGCTCGGGGGTTTTCTGCATTTGTGTGCATTCATGTAAGGATTTAAGGAGTTTTTAATAGCTGACTGTTGTCAACACTTGTGCTTTTTTTCCTATCACATGAATCATTTTTCCTTGGTGATTCATTTGGGTCTAGAGCTTATCAGTATGGTTGATACCTTAGACAACAGTCCTGTGGAAAAAACATGAGACCAGGGGATACATGTGTGTTCCCAGCACCAGTCTCAGGGTACAACTGCCTGTAAAATGGGCTGTTCCTGCAGGTGTTATTCCAATTTGACTGCCTTGAAATGCCAGCTAGAAATCACCTGGGATGTCTTGCCTTTTAAGTGTAGAAAGTTTTGCTTTACTGCTTAGTGACTGCCTCACTATTAATGCATGTGAGACTTAAGCTCCTTCAAATTCAGCTCCTGGCTTATTTGAGACTAAGGCAGTTTTCCAGAAAAGGAAAATGATGCATCATTTGAAGACCAATCCACGATATAAATTACCAAGGAACTTCATGTACTCCAGGATACATGCAAGAAGAAGGAAAAGAGGTGTCTCAGAGCACTCTTCTAATGGTCACAGCTGTATGTTGTCCCTCTAATGCATGTTCAGCCACTATTTTGATAGTTACATCCAAGTTTACTTTCATTGAAAATACTGTTAAGAAAGCTGTTTTGTCAGTTCACTTAATTTGTAGATATAAGGCACACATGGTTTATAGTTGGATTTGCTGTTGGTTCTAGTTAGTGACTCACTCAGCTTCCTAACTTACAACAGTTCTGAAGAAAGCAGCAGAGGTTCAGAAGCTGCATCAGTTTTATTTCAGTCATCTCCCAAATGAATATGGATGAACTGGAAGAACAGTTATGATCTTATATTAGATGTTATTCACACAGAGGTCTGTGCCTGCAGAGTTAGAAACCAACCATAGACTAAACTTAAGATTTTTCAAAATGTGTGTATATAATTTCACTGGTTAATCAAACAATCCTGTTTTATTTATTTATGACTAATAGCATCCTGTATGTAAACAAGGTCAACAAATTTATTTTTCAAGTTTTTACATCTCAATGGCGTGGCACGGCATTCTTTTTAAGGGAAAAAATTGTAAGATTCTACCTCAGAAGATGAGTGGGTGTAACAGTTTGTACACCACAGTATCATAAATTATTACTTAGAAAATAACTGTGTTTGAGCATCCGATCTTTTGTGATCACAACATAAATAGTGCCATATTGCTAAATCCATTAGGCATCCCTGGTTTTTCCTTTTGTTGGCAGGACATTTTTATAAAACAAAAGGTATTTTTGTAAGCATTCAATTAAGCACATATGCTGTTTGACTTGAAAACTGTCTGCCTGATGGAAGTTCCTTTTAGAGTTATGAGTTGATTTTGCAGCCAAAACACAAGGTTGTCTAGAAATCTGAGGCAGGGTTGTCCCAGTTCTTACTTTCATCCTGCCAGCATACATATGACATGGGAGGGAGGCTGCATAGCTGTGGAAAGCTTGGCATAAATCATATTGGATGTGATATACCCTGCTTGTTTTTCCAGCTTCTGCTGCAAAATTACATCACCATGCAAATACAGCCCTGTACATGATCTCATGCTTGGTGCATGGAGAAAGCCATCACTAAAATCAGCACCATGTTTCACAAACACTGCTCCAGCACATGAACATTCTTTTCTCTGGCTTGCACTGAGGAACAGGCCATTGTCTCTCAGTCTATGGCAAAACTCCCACTGTGTCAGCAGAAGCAACCAGTCTTCAAAGCTGGTTCGGTTCTTTCAGCATTGAGATGGTGTGATTAATCTAAAAGGTTACAAGCAGCTTAAGTTTTCTGTATATTTTCAAAATAGTTAAAAATCTCTTCACAGTGATTTTTCTGTAGAAACTGAATTTCCCTGAAAGTGTATCTGCATCTCTTAACACAATGCAATTCTTCCCATAGATTTCAGAGGCTTTGAAATAAATCCACTAAGTTGATTTTTTTCCCCCCGTATTTCTGAGTGCGCAGTTTTTTCCCTTCCTTTGGTTTGTCGTGACTGCTCTTCTGCCTCAGCATAAACAAGTGTGTAAATGGTGTCTGCTTTTTGCAATTAACTTTCTGCTTTTCTAGTAATGTTCCCCCCTTCTTTACTAGTAGTGGGACCAGCATTATACATCTGACTTGCTGTTTTAAAGAACTAGCTACAGGCAGAAGGCTTTCATCCTAGGGCTTGGCTCAGGTCTCATGCTCTGCATTTCTGACCTACATTTGCTCACAGCTCCAGGGGTGTGGTTGTTTTGGAGCTCCCCAAATCCCTGTGTTGTCTACCACCACTGAATACAACAATGGGATAACTCAGTTGTAATTTCTCATGTGTACATGGGTATCTTCACTTGCCTTTCTCCTCCTCCTCCAAAAATTACCTTAGGAAAGGAAATAATTTTGGGTGATAAGAAGGAGCAAGCTGTTTGAGCTTCTGAGCTTGGGGGGCAGGAGGGTTGTTTGACTGTCACTGCAGTGCTCTGAGACAAAGTCTCAGGGAAGAGTCATGAAAAGCTGCACCTCCAGGTAGAGGGAGGCCTGTACCTCTTGCATATATGAGCTGGGAAATGCTTACCAGCCTTGGCATTGGGATCCCTTGCCAGATGCCCAAAGG